GCTGAGCAGGGAGCCCGATGTGGGACTCGATCCTGGGACTCCAGGATCATGACCTGAGCCGAAGGCAGTCGCTTAACCAACTGAGTCACCCAGGCGCCCTAGAAAACTTTTATAGGAGTTAATTTTTTAAACGTTCAGACCTCTCAGTATTTGAAAGGAAGCTATTAAGATGAGGATTTTCAGGGTTTAACACATATCTTAAAAAAAAAAAAAATTGAGTAATCTCTCCTCTTTTTTGCCCTTAGGAAGAGAAAAACCTTGTCAGATTATATGAGGGGAGGATTGGAAGCCTTACATTTCAAGATGATTTACCATGATAGAAAGTCTAAGGTCACGCATGAAATGAAATTAATAACATCAGCCAAGCCACACTGATGGTCATGCTAATGGTCAAATGAGACGGCTCTTCCAGAGCCAAGGCTGGCTGCCTGATTTACAGTGCAGAAATAGAATATTTTGGTTTGGGTTAAACCAAAATGAAGGGAAAATGTTAAATGGCTGAGATCTAAATATGTATGTGTTGGAGTCTTTCATAAAGAATTCTCTGTCTTAATTTATCCTTAAAAATCTCAAAGTAGGGGCGCCTGGGTGGCTCAGTCGTTAAGCGTCTGCCTTCGGCTCAGGTCATGATCCCAGGGTCCTGGGATCGAGCCCCGCGTTGGGCTCCCTGCTCGGCAGACAGCCTGCTTCTCCCTCTCCCACTCCCCCTGCTTGTGTTCCCTCTCGCTGTCTTGCTGTCAAATAAATAAAATTGTTAAAAAAAAAAATCTCAAAGTAACAAGAACCAAGCTTATGTATATATAAGCCATTATGAAATTGAATATTGATAAAATTCCGCCTGGCTACATGGATGTCAAGAAAGATTCGCATTTAAATTTCTACATGGGACTGTACTGATGAACCAGAGAAAAGCATGCCCCTAAAATAACTCTAAAGTTGTATAATTTATAGCTTACGCTAAAGGAGCCACATGGAAACTGGTATGCAAATGGATATATTAAACAAAATTGCCTAGATTTGTCAACTCTACAACAGTTTAATGTATAGAATAAGGGGTAAAAAGTATTCATTTACATAAAACATATAAAGTTTCCATATTCATATGCTTAATGCTTTTTTCCTCCCAAGTAAAAATCTGGGAAAGGAATTCATCTGAAGAGAGAACAACTCATGTCAGCAAAAAGAATGTGCCTGCATATCTTCAATCCCTTTGCATATGTAAACGGAATTTATAAATTTTATAAAAGGCCACAGAAGTAGTCCCAAAGGCAGGATGGCCATACAAAAGTTCTTCATATACAGTCAGATGTGAAACGAAGAGATTTTATTTTGTCTCTGATCTAGGCACTGTTGTAAGCACACTATAAATATTAACTCATTAGTCCTCATACCAGTCATGGGAGGGTCCTGTAATTACCGGATTTCACCGATGGAGCAACTGGAGCAGAGAAAACTTCTTATACACAACTAACTTTTGTCCTGGTAAACCTCAGTGAATGCTGGCTACCTCTTTCAGATCATATTTTGACATTTTTAAAGGATGCACGACACTATCTTGCTTCTTTACGCTCAGATCAACTTTTAAGGGACCCTATGGACAGATGGCTCTGGCTTTATGTGCCCAACTTTTTCTTCAGAATGTTGCAAAGGACAGGGGTTTTAGAGAGTCTAAAGATTCTATGTGTGTAGCAACTATGCAGAAAGACAGTTCTTTTTTAAGAATAAAAGTAATTAGGGATACATTCTCGTGGTTATTTTGTTTAGCTGTGTGGAATTCCTTTTCTTAGGTCTGCGCAGTGGGTTAAGAATACCTCAACATCAAGCCTCTGACTCCTCCCAACCTGAAATAAACAAAACATTCATTTACATTCATTTTCAAAATCAAGGCTCTGGGGGTGCCTGGGTGGCTCAGTCGGTTGGGCGTCTGCCTTCAGCTCAGGTCATGATCCCGGGGTCCTGGGATCGAGCCCCGCATTGGGCTCCCTGCTCAGCGGGAAGCCTGCTTCTCCCTCTGCCCCTCCCCCTGCTTGTGCTCTCTCTCTCTCTCAAATAAATAAATAAAATCTTAAAAAAAAAAAAAATCAAGGCTCTGGAAGTGGTGAGGTTCATTTACAAGGGCTAATGTCTTCAGAGTCTTTCCTGAAGCAAGCAGCGCTCCCAGGGCCACCAAATAGAAGCTCTGCCTCTAAAACTCTGGGCGGTGCCATTTTTGGGCTCTAAAATCTCCTGGCTTCTCTGTGACACCTGTGTGATCAACTGAACCTATAGTACATATGAAAAGGCCAACCATTTTTTACCTGCCGTATTTTCATTAGAAATTCTGAAACTCACACGCAGTTTTGCAAGAAAGGGTTAAAGGGGACGATAAAAAGAGGTCGGATTGGAGCAGATTTTTCCATGACTCAGTCATCAAGCAAAGCAGAGTGGCGGTGAAGTTGCCGCCCTATGACTAAAGGCCTCCTGGGCTGAACCTGCGCTCAAGACTAAATGGGACATGGGGGTGGTGGGTCAGTCACTTTACTCACTAGCACACTTGACCTCCCAAATTACAGTATCCTGTTTTAAAAGCAGGTTCGGAGTTAAGGAATATACTTTCGGGAGATCACTCTTGAGCATGAAAAATCCCAAAAAGCCAAGAGGCACAACACTGTCCACCTTGAAACCTTTCCAGACCCAGCACCAGGGCAACAGCACGCAAACAGAATCAGACTTGGCGGGGAAGGCTGGGAGAGGGGGGTAGTTCCAAGGACACCGCAAGAAATCACCTCAGCTAACGTTGCACTTGTACGTATCAAATGAGTATTTGAAACCCACTTTCATCTCTTCTGTACATTGCCCTTGATGAAAAACAGCTGCAGACTTGGATTATCTACAAGGACAGAAGTGCATTATTTGAAGGTTTGATGATACCAGCACATCTTAATGTAATCAAATCAGAGTTTATAAATGTGTCTAGGCAGAATGGAGGGGAAGCCATCACTCTCACACCTCGGGGCTGCAGAGGTCCCCCTGAGGGAGATCCATTTCTGGCTGTCACCTGAAGCAAAGGTGGGGGTGGTTTGCTGGAGGCCACAGCATCAAAGCAGTAAATTCCGCCAAGACACAATCACGACCAGACTGCTTTCCCTCCTATCTGCGCCCTGACTTCATCCAAACATTCCATTTAGCTTGGTGGACCTCCTTAAATATTTTATTTCAATCATCCTGGAAACATTAAAAATAAAAAAAAAAAGGCACAGCGACAGAAGAGCGAGGCTTACTCATGACTGCAGGACAGCAACTCTCCCTGGCTCAGGGGCAGAAGTTTACAACCCCTGACCCCTTCATCACACACCTGCCACATTCCATGTGAACACGTCAAACCCTCAAGCCTGCCTGATTAATCACCCTGCCCAAGAATCTATGGAACAAAGTTCACATTACCGGAGAGCAGCATGAAGGGCCCTCCCGAGGTCAGGATGCAAGACCAAACAAAATTAACATGCCTGCCACATCCATCATCTTGTAATCTGCTTCCAGTTCTGTAATCCCCAAATGTCCAGACTGTACAAACCAAGAACATTCTTCTTCGATGTGGATCAAAACGGTTCACGTACAGAGAACTGTGAATCTTCCCCACCTCCAAGAAAACCATTAACCATTTCTACACATCAAACTGCAGACACATGCTCAAGTCAAGTCTCTAGGGATCTAGAAGTTTTAATGATTCTATCAAAATGTTTCTTCACACATCATAAAAAGAAAATTTAATTTGACCTAAGAGTAAGGAGTACACATCGTTAACTTTCCAGCGATGTACTAACTCGTTTAGATCACGTAAAGGATACTACAATCTCCATTGCACTTAAGTGTTTCATAATTAGTTCAAGGGAACTGATCTTCCAAACAAAATGAACTGCTAGGATTAGATGCACTTAAAATTATAAGATATATACTGTATTTTATATTACCATGGGATTACTTTTCATTTTGATTTCCAAACCTACAGTTCTGGGTATCTCAAGGGAGGTCTCCTACACATTTCACCCAGGAGAGATTCAGAGACATTGTGTGAGGGACTTGGGATCACATAGCTCATGCCTGGGCTGGGCTGGGCTGAGAGAAGTCATCACACTACTGTTTTCCTCTCATAACTGATATTATTTTTAACACTTTATGCTATAAACCTCCTAATTCTCTCAAATGCTTTACCACAAAGGCTTCACCACAAGGTTATTTTATACTATAAATTCCTTAATTCTCTCAAAATTTCACTCAAAAAAAACCCTTCACCACAAAGATTTGCATCACAGATCATGTGACTATTACTGGATTTGTTCAATTCAAAGCATACATTTCTAGACTCCTGACAGAATAGGAAGTTGGACAACCAGGATATTTTATGTTCTGGTCATTTACACTCCTGTTGTCTGGGAAGAATAGTTATAAACCAGAGAAACATACATGATTTAGGAGTAAGGATTAAAAAGAATGGGGACAACTTTCTTACCTTTTAGAAATTCAGCAATTAGGCTCAGTTCTGTGGGCTAAGAGTGTACACACTGATTGTTTAAGAGTGACACAAAAATAGACATTAATCTTAGGAACATAAGGAGTGATTCTTAAATTAAAAATAAGGAAAAAGAATTATTGTGGTTTGCAGGCCAGTAGGATTTGAAGTGGCAAGACTGATTCATCAAACAATAATCAAATGAGTACTCTGTGCACAAAAGAATTCTGCATGTAGTGTTCACTTAATCTTTATACTTGTCTTCTAAGGCTTTCTATGTCCGTTACTGGTGATGAAGCTGGGGATCAGTGAAGGGCCTTGTTGAAATCACACAGTTACCTGACAAAGCTGAGATCAGAAGAAATACACATCTCAGTGCAACCATCGAAAAATATACCACCAATACTTAGGAATCTGATAAATGTCAGCATTCCCATCCCTCCTTAAAAGTTAATATTTTGAACTCTCTGTACCATTCTTGTAACATGAAAATGTGAAACTATTTCAAAGCAAAAAAAATCAACTTGCTGTTTCCCATTGGCTTGAGCAAGAAAACAGGACACCGTTTTCATGAAAGGGCAAGGAGGTGATGAAGACAGGGTGTAGTCGAGGCATGGCAAGGCAAAGGGATGTGAGAGGTTTCAGGGGAAGGAGGAGGGGAGAGGACTGTGGTAATGATCCAGATGTCAATACAAGTATTGGGTCTTTCTTTCACTGAGTCAACGAATCCCGATTCAGTATGTCCTCCGTGCTGGGTACAACATGAAGTGACTAAGGCAAGGAGCCTGCCCTCTGGGACTCAGTCAGGAAGGAGAAAGAGAGATGGCAACCAGCAATACAATAGCATCAGCTCAGAGCCATGCCACAGACTTCTGTGGGGCACTTCCACCCACCCCTGGGAGAGGGAGGGGATGCTTCCTAGGGGATGTGACGTTTATGCTGGGGTCTCAAAGCATGAAGAGCACTTTCCCTGGGGAAGGGCCACCCAGGCAGAGCATATGTCCAAAGGCATGCAGGTCGGGGAGATCAAGGTGTGCCCCAGAAAAGGAAGGTGGTTCTCTGCTACAGCCTGAGATGCGTGGTGGCGTTGGTAGGGGCAGCAGAGAAACGATGCAGGAGAGGTGGATGGGGACCATGATTCTGGGTCTGTCGAGGGTGGCCTGCATTCTGTACACTATGAGGAGCCAAAAGGATTTTAGGCAGGGGAGTGACACAGTTCATGATCAGATCACTTGGGTGGCTTTGTGGAAGATGGATTGGAGAGAGCCAGACAAGGAGGGCAGCTGTTATGAACTCTACTTGGAAGGACCTTGCAGCCTGAAGGTCCTTGGTGACCCCTAGTCCAGCTTCCCACTGTGTAAGTGACAAACCGAGGTCTGGAAAGGTTAAGAGACTTGCACAAGGTTACCCAGCCCGCAAGTCACAGAGTTGGGACGGGAATGAGGATCTTCTGCGGCTGCTGCAGGATCCCTTCCCCCTGCCTAGACTGCCAAAGAGAATGAGAGCTCTCAAGCCTGGCCTTCCCAGGAGTGGCCACAAGTTTATTCGCTTGAAAAAAACAACAGAAAGGTCAGAGAACAACAGTTGGTAAAAGAGTGAAAAAAATCTTTTTACATTGGGTTTGGATTCCCACTATCATTATGTACCAGAGCAACATAGCTTAGATATTAAGTAAAACAAACTAACCAGACAAGGGAATTAAGGGAAAGTGCACAGCCACTTCCTAAATTGGCCAAAGTAATCAGACCTGGACTGTTCACACACGTGAAATTCAAAGACATGAGCAAAGTCCTTTTTGAGTAGCCTGGATCAGTTTTTTCCTAAGAGCAGAGGATCACTACTTCAGCTGCGTTGTCTAAAAAGAAAGCCAGTTGGCAAGAAAATACTTCATCCATAGAACTACTATTCATGCTGTCAGTCCCCAAAGATGCCCAAAGTAACCTCGCATGATTGCCACTGTCACTGAACTGAGATCTGAAGCCAATGCCCTAACCCTGGAATTTGAGGACAGGGAAGTGCCTTCTCTTTTCCAGAAAACTCAAATCTCAAGGTGAAGCAAAAATGCTCAAGATCTGAAAAACCAAATAGCCCTCCTATAGCCTACTCATAATTTCACTCCAAAGAGGGTGCTCTACACAGAGAACTTATTTTCAGAACAAAAACAGATTATCTGACACCTGCATCTTTCCCAAAGGGCCCTTGAGACTTCCTATCTGCATGTGAAGTGGTGGGGTGTCAGCAGGATCTTGGGGTTGCCGTCCTCCTCAGGACTGAGCCATTTTGAGTTCAAGTGCGTAGCAGGCCAAGGAAGAAAGGTAACTGTGTTATCCAACACCCCATTTCATACTGTACATACCAAGCCATTAAAAGCAACAGAGCACATCGTGTCTTCGACTGGTTACAGATGGGAGAAAAACAGCCACAGTAATAAATTCACGGAGGTGGAGTGTGTCGTCACACACGGAGCCAGGGTGTGTGATCCAGAAGGTGTGTGTGGGGGAGTTAATACCATATGTCGTTTGACTGCCGTGGGCCTGCTCCCATGTCAATAGCAACACGTTCCTCCAAAACAGCTCCGACACCATCCTTGATGCCACGGCGCTCTGCCAAACCGACATGACTCTTACCAGGTACTGAAGTCGCTGGCGCTCGGTCTCGGGGGTAAATTCTGAAGACATGGGGATGATTTCTCCATTTCTGATGATTATGGCCCTAAAAGGGTAAAAAATTGTATTGTCAGTAGCCAACCCCATAAGTACCTCAATTCTATGACAACTCCACAGCTTAGTTCAGAGCACACATGAGGGGTGCGTGGGTGGCTCAGTCAGTTAAGCGTCCGACTCTTGATTCAGTTCAGGTTGTGATCTCAGGGTTGTGAGATCAAGCCCTGCATCAGGCTCTGAGCAGAGTCTGCTTGAGATTCTCCCTCTCCCCCCAACTCACATGCACTTGCACTCTCTCTCTCCCTCTCAATAAATAAATAAATAAAAGCTTAAAAAAAAAAAAAAGAACACACATGAAACGCCCAAAGGACACCTTTTCCTGCATGGCAACATTCACTGCTACCAACTGTGGATCCCTCACCATATTATAGGTATCTTTACTTTAAGAACATTACATTCTGGTTAGCTTACATTTACTTTTTTTGCTAGCTGGAACCGTTCCTTAACAGCCAGCACCAACCATCCTTTGGCACATAATAGATGCTCAGTGAATAAATGGATGAATAAGTGAATGATGGAAATTGAGGCTTACTCCAGACTAGTGCTCTTCAATAGAACTTTCTATGATAATGGAAATATGTTAATCTATATAATCTAATATGGCAGCCACTAGCCACATGTGGGTAATGAGCATCTAAATTATGGTTAGTGCAGCTGAGAAAGTGAATTTTTTATCTTACTTAATTTTAATTCATTTATCTTTAAGCAGTCATGAGTGGCTAGTGTTTAATGTAGTAGACCGTACAGCTCCAGATCCTTGTTACTCCAAGTGTCTGTGGGCCAGGAGCACTGACCTCGCCTGGGATCTTATTAGAAATGCAGATTCTCAGGTTCCACCCCAGACTTAATCTATCAGAATCTTCATTGTAATATGATCCCCAGGTGCTTCATAGGCAAGTTAAAATCTGAGAAGCCTGACTTTGACTCCTGAGTTTCTAGGGTAGTATCCTGGGTCCAGGAAAAGATGTTCTCATCTCATCCTGAAGCTTAGGAAATTCACACACTTCCAAAAATGTATCCAAAACCTACTGCTGACTCAGGGATTTGAGAGAACAGAGCTCCCCAAAGGAGACATCTAAGGGAGAGGCCACAGTATTGATAACCATGGAGCAACGTTTCCTAGGCCTATTCCAGACGGAGCCTCCTGTTGAGATCTTCTTGTTCTGAAGTGGTTCCTAGCAGCCACTTTCCAGCTATCAATCGGTGAAGTGGCTTGCAAATTGCATTCTATATGAACCCAACAACTCCCAGGTACCAGGGAGCAGGAGGCCTGGAATCCCACACACTTCTCTGTGAAGAGCCACAAGTACGGGAAGTGCCTTCCACGAGCTCAGCTCTGGATGGATGTCTCACTGACTCTAGGGTCAGCTGCATTCTTTGTGCCAAGAGGCTCCAGGCACCCCTTCCCCCCCCACAGAGGTGGTCTCCAACTCAGAAGCAATCCCTGTAAATGGCTGCAGCTGTCCCAACCTCTCCCCAACCCCCCACCACCTGTGCCCAGTTGTTGCTGTCATAAGAGACTGGTGGGAAGGCAGGTAAGGGAGGGGATGACACCAAACATCACACGGGGCTTTAGAGAATTAACAGGTCTAAAAGAAAACCAGTGGAAGCTATGAGAAAATGGAAAATTTTAGGGGAGCTGACTGGGAAGAAGATGTAATATTCGTATCATTTCTTTTATCATGATGCCAAAAATAGGACAAATTAAAAGTTCCTTCTTATAAATCCAGGGTCACTTGTAAAATGCAAACCCCCCCCCCCAAGAAAGGTGATACCCACCATTCACAAATCAGTGTGTTCATTCAAACGGTCTCTGTCCTAATTAATCAGCAAGGCTAACTCCCTGCATAAGGGAATGGGAGTTTTGATAGAGGATGGAGAGACTTGGAGAGCTTGAAAGGAAGCTCTAGGTTTAGAGCCTTATTTCAAATAGCATGAAGGGCCCTGAGAACCAGGGGTATAAGGTCAAAAGTCATTAGGCAATAAATTTCAAAGGCAAACTTCTCTTTCAAAACTTTGCTTACAGCTAGTTTTCACTCTTTTTCTTCCCCTTTTCTACATGGTCCCTGAATTGCAGCTTCCAGGCTCCAACTAGGAAAGTTGGCTCTCTGGGAAGGAAGGAAAAGATAATGAGTAGAGAGGAAGGTAGAGAGGACAGAAGACAGTGTCAGAGACCACGGGGGAGGGTGTGTGGGGAGGAGCCGACACTGAGCCATCAGGCCCTGGAAGCTCCTCTTGTAGGGCCTATGTGCGAGGTCAGTGGCCTTGCTTGCTCTTATATTCCAAATGCTTCACCTGTCACACAGCCCCATAACTCTTTGTTGAACACGAGAACAAATGAGAGAACTCAGGAGACAAAAGTTTAGTCCCTTGAATTTTTCCCCTTGAATTCGAGGCAGGAAGACAGAGGCAGCAGACGCTCACGTGCATGAGTAAAGTGGGGTTGACTTCAGAGCAAAGAGGGGTCTTCACCTAGAAATGTACCTGTTCCCTCTGCTATCCTGTTCTCTTCTCTTCCTGACCAGGGTGCATCCGTCCATCACTCCCCACACAGGCCTTCCCTATATTAGTTATTCCCTCTCTGTACCTCTGGCTCTGCCCACAGGCCCACTTCAAACCTACACTCAAAACACTTTCAGTTGGGGCACCTGGGTGGTTCAGCCGGTTAAGCGTTAAGTGTCTGCCTTTGGCTCAGGTCATGGGCCCAGGGTCCCAGGGTCCTGGGATGGAGCCCCTGCTCAGCAGGGAGTCTGCTTCTCCCTCTGCCCCTCACCCCCCACTCGGGCGCTCTCTCTCTCACTCTGTCTCTCTCTCAAATAAATAAAATTATTTTTAAAAAACCACACTTTCAGTTTACAATCAAACAAAACAGAACAAAAACCGATACTCTCCTAATCCAAAACCCACCTTTCAGGGCCTGTTTTCTTTTCTCTCCAATTAAGATGATAATCCACATTTAAGGGCTGTACTTCCCTACCTCCCACTGATCCTTTAAACAGAGGTAAATCCATTCTTGCCCCTCTCTCTATCCAACTGCTCTCAGAATCACCCAATGGCCTCTTTGTTGCTATAGCCACTCGACATGACCTCATTCCTAATCTGCTTGGCAGCGTTTGACAGTTTCTCCTGATCCTGGCTTCTGGGATACTCCTTCTCCTGGATTCCATATGTCCCTGGAGGCCTCCTTCTCAGACTCCTCTATGCCTCCTCTGGTGTTATGGGCTACCATTTTGTCTCTCTACTCCTCTTCTTGGGCAGTCTCATTTCCTAACTCCCTAACCCCCAAGATTAGGTTTAACAGCCTCTCCCACATGCTCCCTGAGCCTGGTACTTCTAATACAGAGCACATCACATTTTGTTACTGATGACTTAACATGCTGGCCTGTGAGCTCCTAAGGCAAGAACCATGGCTGTCTTACTCAACATTGTAGCCTCGCTACTGTACACAGGGGCAAGCTATGATAAGCAGGACTGGGTACTTAATTTCCAGGGTCCAGTGCAAAATAAAAATGCAGGGCCTCTTGTTTAAAAATTAATGAGAGGGGCGCCTGGGTGGCTCAGTCGTTAAGCGTCTGCCTTCGGCTCAGGTCATGATCCCGGGGTCCTGTGATCGAGCCCCACATCGGGCTCCCTGCTCCACAGGAAGCCTGCTTCTCCCTCTCCCACTCCCCCTGCTTGTGTTCCCTCTCTCGCTGTGTCTCTCT